CCCCCCATGACTTCCTATATCATATGTTCAAGAATGTTAAAACTAAACTCCAAGCAACCAGATAAATGCACAGATGAAATACAAATCCTTTGGGAGGTAAAACAGGTCTCATATATATATTTTTGTCTATGCAGTCCTGAGATTTACACAGCTCAGCTGAGTAAAGCAGGGGAGGGGATCTGATCTTTCTCTCCTGCAGTTTCAGCTTCCCTTACAGGTCTCCTAAAAATGAGATGCCCAATGGATCAAACAAATGAAGACACTTCTGATGCTAGGCCCACACGACCTACTCATAAATTAGTTTTCAAAGACTGTGCCACAGCTCTGGACCTGGAAAATGATGGTGGTTAACTAACAGTACACAAAGGTTTAGAAAACCCCACAGTGCGGAATGCAGTGACCAAAGGTCTTATTCCAGGAAGGCCCTGCAATCACCTAGTCCAGCAAGGTCCTGGTACAGCCTCCAAATCTACTGCTGAGGATATGCCAATCTGGATAGCTGCATAAAGAGACCAGCCCAAGCACCTTGTAGATGAAATACTGGTTGAAGAAAAAGAAACAGTCATGAAAAAAGCAAGAATGGCTAGTAAAAATTGGAGTGGGAGGGATTATACTGTTGCCTAAAACGGGCTTTGGACAGAGGCAAACAAAAAAGCCATTGGCCAGCCAGGTAGAACCCCTCCCACTCCAATTTTTACTAGCCATTCTTGCTTTTTTCATGACTGTTTCTTTTTCTTCAACCAGTATTTCATCTACAAGCTGCAAACTGGAGTAGATAGAATCAGGAGCAGTTGTCCATGGCAACCAATCAGCATCCCTCTACAGTTTGCTTAGTTAAGATTTGAAAATGAGACAGAAAAGCTGATTGTTTGCAGTGCAAATATGCTCCAGATTTGATAAATTTTTAAGCTATTTAAAAATTCTGATTAAATCACTTACAATGGATGCGGCTTCTTCCAGAATCAGCTGGTCCTTGAGCAGTGGCCTGGCATCCTTATAGGGTAGCTCCTTTCTTTTGCAGGGTTCTATGGAGCTACCCTTGTGTGTGCTAGTAACTGTGTGTCTCCGTAAACACACACGCACAGCAGAGCTAGCCACTCCCCTCTCGCTTCTAGATGGACAGCTGCTGGAGGCTGTGCTTTCCCTTGTAATCTTGCACTAGTCAGGAAGTTCAGGGAACCTGAGTGTTGGAGCCAGCTGTTCATAAATATGACTGTAATTGTTTGGGAAAGCTGTAAAAGAAATACTTTTCACGGCAATGTGAATTGTTTCATATTGATTTCAAAGTTTAATACTACTTTGACAGTTCAGGTCATTTTTAACAAACATTTGGTGTCTGTTCATTGGCCAATACTAGATGTCACCAGCAGGGAGTGCTGCATGTACAGTCCTACTGTAGTATTTCATCCTGAGAAAACCTGGGAGCTGTGGGACAGAGTAATCTCCATATTAAAGCGCTGCGCAAACTGTTGGCGCTATATAAATACTATGTAATAATAATAATAATAATATTACTGCATAGGGAAGTCCCAAACAAAATAGATATTTTTTTATTTTCAGGAAATACCCTTTACAGCAGTTTTTTCTTTTTTTCTTTCTTTTGATTGAAAACAGGTTGTAATTGCCAGAAAACTGATGTGTGAATGACCAGTATTATTATTCTTTTTCACCCGTCGACATTCATTTGTTTACTTAAACCCTTTCTTTGTGACTGCTAATTCCTTAAAGCAGAACTTAACTTTCCTTTTTTTATTCAATCTTTGCTGCATATCTGCATACATATTAGTATTCATGCTTGCAAACCTGCAAATACATCTCATCCCTTTACTTTCTTTTCCCCAACAGTCAAAAACATGCTGTGAAGGTGCTACAGGAAGACTCAGTAATCATTAGGACCACTTGGTTGATGTTCAGTGGCAGGAGACTTCTAGCATATTAAAAAGGGGAGTGCACGTTACTGTGCCATCTGTGGCTCCTCCCACTACACCCCTCCAGTCTCTTAATTCCCTTTTACAAAGCTCATAGTCTGATAACTAGTGTACAGTACTATTGTGCAGCCTGCAGATCGAGAAAAACGTTATGTTTTCCCGCAAACTTTCCCTGAGTCACTCTGCCCTTTCAGTCAGCTTTCTCTGCTATCCGCTCATCTCTTCTATTCAATTGGTAAGGCTCACTGCAAACCACCTCCCTTAATAGCATCTCTGTGAAGTGGCAGTGCAAAAACCATAACACTGAATAAATACCTGGCTTGACAGATTGTAGGCTGCATAGAAAGGAGTAAGAATGGTATGGTGGTAGAGCCACCTTAATATTCACCCATTTGCTGGCAAAAAAAAGACATAGAAGAAGTTGCTGGACATAACTTCCTGTAAACATTTTAAAAATTGTACCAGGTGGATGTTCAGACATCATCTGATGCAAGCTTTGGACATTCAGGCAGTTCTCTAAGCTGCAGGCAGTTCCCAGCTTTCTATTGTTTATAGTGGGCCTGTAAGCATTTTGTTTTCTGTGTTGCCCACCCCTCTGTTGGGCTGCTTTGGGATGTGCCAATTATCTCTGAATCCCCCATCTTTCAATGAAGAAAGAAAACTGGATTGTTGTACTTATCTTAAAATCCCTTTCCTGGAGTTCATTCAGAGATGACTGGGTTATACTCCTTCCTTGAGGAAATGGACACTGGCAAACAAAAAAGCCATTTGCTTGATATAACCACTCCTACGCCCAGAATGCTTCAGTTTTGTAGAAAAGCAGTATTAGGAAAAGACCATACACACTGAGGGGCAATGAGAGGGTTAATCATCGTTTTTCCCAGAGTTCTGCTTAAAAGAACTCCAAAACATGGGATTATATGGTAACCAAAATCCCATTTTGTTTTTCACTCATTAAGAGACACTGCATTTGGTATGTAGAGACAATTAGGTGGGCAACAGTAACAAAACACTAACAGGCCCACATAACAAAACAGTAACATTGGGGGAACCTGAAGGACCATATGCCCAGAGCTGGCATCAGCTAAACATCCACCTGTAAAACTTTGAGGATGTGTGAATGACAGCCTTGCAAAATTGTGAAACAGTTGTCTCGTGCTAAAAAGTCCAAGAAGTACTCATGGACTTTATAGAGTGAACTTTCACAGGAAAAAGCAAAACCTTATCTTTAAGACCATAAGCTTCTATGGTGATCTCTCTGAGTCACCGAGAGATGGTGGAGCGAGAAGCTGGTTCCCCTTTACGGGGTTCATCAACAATGACAAGAAGTGAGTTAATTTTATGTAGGAAGTGGCTGAAAGGTAAACCCACACAGGCTGAATATCATCCAGACAGTGGAGACATTTCCTACTGGTGTACAGGAGCAACACAGATAAGATAGACAGCAGATAGAACGTACTGGTTGAGGTGATAGGCTGAAACCACATTGAGAAGGAAAGATGCTCTTGGGCTTAATACCAACTTATCCCTGTACAAAAGTCTTAACTAAAAAAACAGAGGCTAGCAGTCAATGGAATAAATTGCAATTGGCAAGATATGCCCTTTGAAAGTACTTTCTGGGCTTAAACCTTCTTTCCTTGCATCAGGTGAAGTAAGCTTTCCATGTGCATCTCTTACCCTGGCAGCCAGGACGGTTTCTGATTTAGCTGGATCCAGGGAACTCCTTGAGGGCAGCTAACTCCTTAGTAAAAAGCCTCCTCAAACAGATACAGTAAACTCCGGATTATACGGCATTCAAGCAATTAGCTCTCTCAATCAACCGGCCAAAAAAAAAATCAAGGACATACTGTATGTCCTCGATATTTTTTGCAGGTTGCTTGATAGACATTTACACACTAAAAAATACCATTAGCAACTAAGTTTATTTTGTTGCTAATGAAAATTATTTGTTTACATCTTGCTGCCGGCAGCTAGATTCCGTGGTCTGCAACAAAATGTAAATAATGGGGGGCAATAAACACCCTGCTATTGGCTATTTCAAACGGCAATAGCAGGCTGGCTACTGTACCCGCCCACTGAGCAGAGGAGCAGACCTGAGAGAGAACTTTGCAGGTATGATAAGCTGACAAGACAAAAAGAGTGCTCTACCTCCTTCCTCCAATGCAGTTCCACGGAACACCAGTGTACAACCAAGGCTACCACCAGCCCTTCTTCATAAAACAGTAGAAAAAAAGTGTTTGCACATGGTTTCCGGATTCAGTAAAAATCGCTGCAGGTATGCATGCATGTACAATATTGTTTACTGCAGCCAATCAGATCACAGCTTTAAGGCCTGGTTCACACCTGGGCGTTTTACAGCGCTGATCGACACGCTGTAAAACGCCCAGCAAGTGAAATCCTATTATTTTCTATGGGCATGGTTCCCACCAGGACGTATATCAGCGCGTAGGAACGCGCTGAAAAACGCCCTACGCCCAAAGAAGTACAGGAGCTTCTTTGGGGCGTATTTCCACGCGTATCCATTAGGATACAGCCGGATAGCCCTCGTAAACGCACGTTTGTCGCGTGTTTCCTTGACCGCAAATCGCGGTAAAACGTGCGTCCCGAAACGCGCGTCACACGCGCATATTTGTCGCGTCCCGAAACGCACATCACACACGCATATTACGAACGACCAAATGTGAACCCCCGGATAGCCCTCGTAAACGCGCGTTTGTGGCGTGTTTCGATGACCGCAAATCGCGGTAAAAACGCGCGTCACACGCACATATTACGAACGACCAAGTTCTGTTTTAGGTTTTTCTTATTTTTTCTCTTATCCTTATAGGTTGAAAACGATGGACTTGTGTCTTTTTTTCAACCTGACTAACTATGTAAAATGAATGGGGTTTTACCAATTACAATCTTTGGGACTTTACCAATTACACTTGAAAAGCACACTGTTTTGCCAAATGTGCATTTTGGCTCGGCTAATGCCATACCACTGTGTCCTGCCACCTTTTACTTTCTCGCAACGTACATATTTATCATCACCAACTAAACACCTCCTTAAAATAAAAGACAGCTCCATACCCGATGAGCCTGTACCAATTGCTTGCAGTTGTGTGCTGGGCCCTCCGGCAAGTCTGACTTTAGAATGAGGAGACAGCAATGATGGGGCAGGCAGCAAGACACTGGAACCATTCTGTAAAAAAGTGAATTACTTTTCAATCAGAATAGAAACAACCCAGAATCAACATAGGATATAATAATGTATACATTTAACTTTAATAGAATATATTCCAAATCAGCAAGTCCTAGAATTCCATTGTTCAGCATTGTTACCATTCAAGAAACTAGCATGAGTAATCGATTACAATCAATACTGTGAATTTTCTAACTTAGCCAAAATAAGTGTATGTGGGAGGGGTGCACGTGCTGCTGATAGTGCTGGGGGAATGTGGTGGGACGGGCGGCTGTATTAGAGCCTCTTGTCTGTGGCTCTCTGTCCCATCCAGCTCACTTAAGTTACTGGTTGCCAGGATCTTGGCGGGACATCAGCAACCGATGAGGTCAGTGATCTGGGCGGGAAGCCAGACAGAGCATCACAGGTTGCTAGGAGCTCTTCCTGGACCACTCCAGTCCAGGAACCACAGTGACACAATTAGGTGCCTTGGCACTTCTGCATGTCCCTAAGGCCCCTTTCAGACAGACACTTTCAGTTATCCCCTGCTGATCGGAACAGAGGGTCACCATTGTGACATCCATGTCCGTCCAGTTTTTTCAAAACTGAAATTATTGGACCCATGAGAAATCTGATGTAAATGGACACATTACCTCCAATCCCGCACAGTCAGGTCCGTCAAAACGGAACTCAAAATGCACATGTGAAAAAAAGCATGAGATGACAGTCATTGTTTTTGGACTGGTTTACGGATAGTGTAAGGGTGGACCATTCCTGCACAGCTGCTTGTGGTCTCCACTAGGGGTGCATGTGATAGGGTGACAATGCAGCAGCACAACTAGGGGGACAGCTGTCACCCTTTAACAAGAATTGCCTACAAAAGGACCTTCATGGCAGGATCACCAAATATTATTTTAATGACTGCTGCATGTTTAAAAGATTAATAAGCAGCTTTTGAAATTACATGAACATTATAAAGTGTGTATGAGATGATAGTGACTGGGCATAGATGCACTTTAACATGTTAAAGTTTGTATAACATTTTGTTCAATGGTTTAAATATACTCTAAACACTTATCACAACGCACAAATGCTATAGGAAACTGTGAATTAAAGCATGTGCTTGTGTACTATGAAGCAACCTTTTTTAAGAAATATAGGTTGTGGAAAAGATTGCCTAACACCTTCACAACAAGTAGTAGTGTTGGTTAAGATAGCCAGTACATTATACTAATTTTTCACAACCTATTTCTGCTTTCTTCATGCAAAAAAAACCACAGTCCTGTCAAAATGAATGTTTACTACAGTTTATGCTGCACAAAGATAAAACTTCATGAGAAAAAGTTATTTTATGTAACCAAAGAAGCACAAGAAGCCAGAGAAATAATAAGTATTTATGTTCATGGAAACTGCTTTGCCTTTTGAAACCTCTGTATAATTGATGCAAATAACGACTGTTCCTAAAAATCATGCAAAATAAGTTAACTGAACAGCTTTGAAAAATAACACTATTTTAAGATTTGAGAAGAAGCTCTTCTTTGTTTCCAGAGTCTTCAGGTGCATGACTCCGTAAAACATTTTGTTTGCATACAAGCTTGCAATTCAAATTAGCTTCAAGTTGAAAAAGCTAGAGACCATATTTGTAAAATGATTACCACATTATAGGTTCCACTTTAAACACATACAACATTGGCTACTAAAGATGGAAAAGATGTGCGAATGTCACAGGACTGAAAAAAACAAATCATATGGAACATGCAGGGCACAAATGTACCCTATGAAGACTCTAACAAAAAACTCAAGGCAAAAGCAGAGTATATGAGGTTGATTTACTAAAGGCAAATAGGCTATTCTCTTTGCTATGGAATTTTTACTCTGCAAAGGAATTTTACACTAGCTTAGTGAATGTGGTGAAAATTCACTTTGCAACGAATACCTAATCATTTGCAAAGAAAATTATTTAAAAAAAGTATTTTTGCTTACTCTTGAATGGCTTTGCCTCATTCTTTAAGCTAGGGAAAAATCCCTTTGAAAGTTAACAGCCTATTTGCCTTTATTAGTAAATCAACTCTCATTTAAACAGCACAGATGTAAATTATATTAACTCTCTAATTGACGCTACTAACCAAAAGGACCATAGTTGCTCAGAAAGTGTGGATTGCTCAGAAAATACAGGTTGTGTTTTAAGTGTATATTCAAACATTACTCAAATTTGTCTGTGAAGGGGGCGTGGCCCCGGAAACGCGTCATCACAGGAGTCCCGTGCTGACACACAGGCATATGTGCAGCCATTCTACAGTTGCATAGGCTCATCTTTATGCTTTTATTGATCCACTTTTGTGAGTATGTTTTTACTCTGTATTTGTACTCAGAATCATTAAAACCCTCTACACTAGGGTGGGCGCCCTTCTCTTTTCTTTTTTTCTCAGTGTTGCAGCTTCCCAAGCTGAAGTGGGGCAGCACTCCTAGTCAACCTCGTTTGTACTATTCATCTGTTGGTCAAATTTAGCACTTTGGATTTGTTTTTACTCATAATATGAGCCGACCTGTGACAATGAAACCGTCACAGGTCGGCTCAGTAGATCGGGAAGTGAGCGAACACATACCGGCGCTCGCTCATTTCTCGATCCTGTCACTGCAGAGATGTGTGACAGGGGAGTGACTGGATTCTCCCCTGTCCGATCCTCCAGCGCTGACTGGCGGAACGGACGGGGGAGAGGGCGGGTACAGCTGGCTCTGCCTCTAGATAGGCAGAGCCAGCTGTCACTCACGCAGCTGGGCGGATCCAGACGTAATTGTCGGGATCCGTTTTAGCTGCGGACTCTCAGTATACCGCAAGCTGTAGCTCGCGGTATACTGAGCTTAGGGTGACGGGAGGACGCTAGTTTGTGTCCTCTGGTTACCCTTCGGAGAACTATGGGGAAAAGCCCTAACCCCATAGTTCTCCTTTAATCTTCATCAACTTCTCAATTGAGAAAGCTAGTCGGATGACCAGTGAAACATCTTCAAGAAAAATACAGCAAGTCCAGTTGCTTTGATTTATTTTTTACAGATATTACTCAAACTTATTTTCAAACCTCCCTCTCTACAGCATGTTCTAGCATTCATTTTTTAGCCTTGTTCTTGTGGAAAGACAACAGGATTTTTCTACTTAACGTAAAAAGCGTGTCTTGAAGTTCATTGAGGACACAGGATTTAGTTATTCTGATATGATTGTGTTATACTGACACCCACAGGAGGATTTAGACACTGGCAAACAAAAAAGTGCTTAGCCAGCCAGATATAACCTCTCCCACTGCCAGCATGCTTAAATTTTGTAGAAAAAAAAAAAGACTTTGGACTGGATCACAAACACAGATCGGTGTACTTTAGGCCCCTTCTCATATGGCCATTCAGATCAGATCTTCCTGTTAGTTTTTTAGGCAGATCTGAACAGAAACTGAATGTTATGACTATGGGCAGATGTAAAAGGACATGTTAGCTTCTGTGGATAACCAGCATGACCTGAAGTTCTGGGACGCACCATTGGCTGATTCCTGTGCTGAAGGTTACATTTCAAGCAAGCCCCACAATCTTTGATCCAACGGAGTTCTGGTACAGCCTTCAAGGCATCCCCAAAGATTACCCAATCCAGAGAGCTGGAGAGCTCAGCAGCATGTACAGTAGATTGTTTCGACTGAAGAAAAAATATTTTGAGGGAAAAAAAAAAACAATTAAAAAAAAAAAAAACCCGGGGGGGGGGGTGGTATTTGGGGGTCACACATTTCTTAATAGAAAAAAGGATGTCCATCCTCCTAGGACAATACCAAAAAAACTGAAGCTTGCTGGGTGTGGGAGGGGTTATACTTGGCTGGCCAATGGACAGGTAATTAGCATAAATAAAAAAGTGAAAGCGTCCAGCCTGTTTTGTAAGTATGTACAAATATGACGTGTTATGGAATGCATCTTTGCTTCCACTGTCTTTTGGGATAGACAGCCTCAAAGGGTTTTTTTGTATAGCCAGCGAGAATCTACAAAGGAGTTCAATTTTAAAACTGGACACAGATGCTTTGTGACGTTTGCAGAATTTCATAACAATTTTGGCTGCTTCTCCTGTGAATAACCTTAAAAAACTCTAACATCCAATAAGAGCTTAATGCTAGTTTTTGTGGTTGTTTCTCTAAAATCTTATAAAGATTAGATGAAACTGTTGATATGCATAATTTGTTTGTGCCTCTAAGCCCGCAATGATGTCAACCTTGTAGGCATTATAAGGAGAAACATGTTCCTAGCATCCACCATAGTTACCAAAACTCATATGAAGGTAGTGGGTGGGACTATCATCAGGAGGACACTTTTTTTTAATCCTATCTGACAGCATCTTAGGAACCTCTAGTCCTCATTGTCAAGCCACTACCCAATGGCCACTAGCTTTGACAGTGTAACTGGTGACAGATAAACTTGCTCTATTTATATTGCCTGGATTTTGTGTGTCTTCATTAAACTGTATGCAAACCAAAATCAAAGTGAAATATGTAGGACATCATCCTCGCTGTATACATTTTTATGAATCTGTTGCAAAGTTTCGTGCCTAGAGATCCTGCCAGTAACAACACTTCCTGTTTCATGTAACAATAATCAGCCTAAAACAGAAAGTTCTGTTACTAGCGGGCTCTCAAGGCAAGAATATTTGCAATAAATTCACAAACCAATTGATCCAGTGGGAGATCACTTAAGGGTATTGGGCGCACTAAATACACCCAAAAGACTTATAGGGTTTTTCACTATGGGACCGAAGGTTCCAGCTGTAGCATAGGGCCGACCTTTCTCCATGCAAATGACAGCTGGGCAGAGCCAGACGTGATCTCACGGCTGGCTCCGCCCAGTTATAATGACAGATCAGCGTTCCCAAGTTGTCATTAAACAATAACATAATTAAACAATAGCAACTGGGCGGAGCCAGCCGTGACATCATGGCCCCTGTGCACAGTTGTTATTTATTGGCTGGGACCTGCTAGAAGACTCTGGCAGGTGGCGGCCAA